AAAAAAAAAAAAAAAAAAAAAAAAAAAAAAAAGAAAAAAGAAAAAAGGAAAGAAAAGAAAAAAACCTGGGAGGCCTAAGCCCATCCTTGGGGTCCTCACACTCTTCTACCCCATCTCCTTGCACCCAGTCTTCCCCTGCAATCTCTGCTCCATACTAGCCTTCAAGCCCTCAACATGACCTAGTATGAGAACTGGATTCTGTCGCTCTCCTGCTCATAATATTTTATGCCTCCCCTTCACCCAGAATATCATTCTCCCTATTGTTTTTACCAATTGAACTGGTATTTCTTCAAGGATATAAACAAATTTGCCTACTTCTATATTATCTTCTAAAGCAGAATTCATCTCTCTTCCCTCAATATTATGATATTGACAGGGTTTGCCCTCACTCACTAGACTGCGAGCTCCTCAGGGCAGGCAGTTGGTTTTTTGTTTCTTTTTTTTTTTTTGAGACAGGGTCTTGCTCTGTCACCCAGGCCAGAGTGCAATGGTACAATCTCAGCTCACTGCAGCCGCAACCGCCTCGGCTCAAGCAATCATCCCATTTCAGCCTCCTGAGTAGCTGGGACTACGGGCACATGCCATTACACCTGGCTAATTTTTTGTATTTCTAGTAGAGACAGGGTTTGGCCATGTTGCCCGGGCTGGTCCAAACTCCTGGACTCAAGCAATCCACCTACCTCAGCCTCCCAAAATGAGGGACTGTGTCTTATTCATTTCCATGTCCCTAGTCCATAGCCCAGTGCTGGACCTGTGGTGGTACTAAATACATATTTGTTGGATGCAATAGTAAATAGCATTTCAGGGAGCAAGAACTAGATTAACAAAGGTGGTAAAAGGTTTGGAGAAAAAAATAATAGTTTAATTTGGCTAGAGTATGAGGGAGAGTAGTAGGAGACAAGGCGGAAAGGTCTCTTGGGCAAGGCTTTGAAGGGACTTGGAAGTCAGAAGTACACAATGTGCATATTGTGGTAGGTACTGGGGAGCCAATGAAGACTTTTGAGCAGTTGAGTAACGTGATGAAAAATAAATATAGGTTAAACCTATCAGAGCCCCTCTGACACATACACTTGCTTTTGATTCAAGCTCAAATTTGTCTCCCACATACCCAGTACTTAACTCACCCTCGGGCTCCCCTAGCAGCCTGCCCTACCCCTTTACCTGCTTCCTGGTGGAGTCAGGGATGTATACATAAGCTGCTTTCCCTCTCAGCCAGAGGACATGGGGGCCCCAGCTCCCCTGCCTTTCCCCTTCTGTGCCTGGAGCTGGGAAGCAGGCCAGGGTTAGCTGAGGCTGGCTGGCAAGCAGCTGGGTGGTGCCAGGGAGAGCCTGCATAGTGCCAGGTGGTGCCTTGGGTTCCAAGCTGAGTCCATGGCCCCGATAACCTTCTGCCTGTGCACACACCTGCCCCTCACTCCACCCCCATCCTGGCTTTGGTATGGGGGAGGGGGCACAGGGCCAGACAAACCTGTGAGACTTTGGCTCCATCTCTGCAAAAGGGCGCTCTGTGAGTCAGCCTGCTCCCCTCCAGGCTTGCTCCTCCCCCACCCAGCTCTTGTTTCCAATGCACGTACAGCCCGTACACACCGTGTGCTGGGACACCCCACAGTCAGCCGCATGGCTCCCCTGTGCCCCAGCCCCTGGCTCCCTCTGTTGATCCCAGCCCCTGCTCCAGGCCTCACTGTGCAACTGCTGCTGTCACTGCTGCTTCTGGTGCCTGCCCATCCCCAGAGGCTGCCCCGGATGCAGGAGGATTCCCCGCTGGGAGGAGGCTCTTCTGGGGAAGATGACCCACTGCATGAGGAGGATCTGCTCAGTGAAGAGGATCCACCCAGAGAGGAGGATCCACCCAGAGAGGAGGATCTACCTGAAGTTAAGCCTAAATCAGAAGAAGAGGGCTCCCTGAAGTTAGAGGATCTACCTACTGTTGAGGCTCCTGGAGATCCTCAAGAACCCCAGAATAATGCCCACGGGGACAAAGAAGGTAAGAGGTCACCAGTCTCCAAATCCAGGTTTCAGGAGGTTCATGCCTCCCCTCCCATACCCCAGCCTAGGCTCTGGTCACTTAGCGAAGGAGGGGAGCCTGTACTCCCACAGAAGCCCTTCCATAGGTCCCATACCAATATCCCCATCCCCACTCTCGGAGGTAGAAAGAGACAGATGTGGAGAGAAAATAAAAAGGGCGCAAAAGGAGAGAAGTGAGTTGGATAAGATGGGAGAGAAGGGGGAGGCTGGAGAAGAGAAAGGGATGAGAAGTGCAGATGAGAGAAATAATGTGCAGAGAAAAAATAGGTGAAGAAGGAGAGCCACAGAGTTTGAGGGAAAGAGAAAAGGAGGTGAAATGGGTACCAGAGGACAAGCAAGAAGAGCTTGTAGAAGTCATCTCATCTTCAGTCTACAATGAGGAAATTGAGGCCTAGGAAGAAGGACACAGCAGGTAGAGAAACGTGGCGTCTTGACTCCCAAGCCAGGAATTTGGGGAAAGGGGTTGGAGACTAGACAAGGCAGAGGGATGAGTTGGGAGAAGAAAGAAGGGAGAAAGGAAAGATGGTGTACTCACTCATTTGGGACTCAGGACTGAAGTGCCCACTCACTTTTTTTTTTTTTTTTTGAGACGAACTTTCACTTTTGTTGCCCAGGCTGGAGTGCAATGGCGTGATCTCGGCTCACTGCAACCTCCACCTCATGGGTTCAAGCAATTCTCCTGCCTCAGCCTCTTGCCAAGTAGCTGGGATTACTGGCATGCGCCACCACGCCCGGCTATTAGTAGAGACGGGGTTTCACTATGTTGGTCAGGCTGGTCTCCAACTCCTGATCTCAGATGATCCACCCGCCCTGGCCTCCCAAAGTGCTGGGATTACAGGCGTAAGCCACAGCGCCTGGCCTGAAGCAGTCACTCACTTTTACAGACCCTAAGACAATGACTGCAAACTGGTAGGATAGCTGTTTGGCCCACCCAGTTGCGGTGATGAGTTTGAGTGCGGTCTCGAGCTTTGCACCTGGCCCGCTTAAGGCATTTGTTACCGGTAATGCCCCTGTAAGGCATCTGAGTTTGTGACATCGTTTTGGCCGCCAGGAAGGGATTGGGCCCTAAGCTTGGGCGGTTCATCCTTTTCATTTATACAGGGGATAACCAGAGACACTGGCGCTATGGAGGTGAGACACCCACCTGCTGCACAGACCCAATCTGGGAACCCAGCTCTATGGATCTCCCGTCCCACCCGCCGCCTGCCGTCCCATCCCCTCACCTTTTCTACCCGGGCTCCCTGAGTTCCTGACCTAGGCGTCAGACTTCCTCACTAAACTCTTCCACCCCAGGCGACCCGCCCTGGCCCCAGGTGTCCCCAGCCTGCGCGGGCCGCTTCCAGTCCCCGGTAGATATCCGCCCCCAGCTCGCCGCCTTCTGCCCCGCCCTGCGACCCCTGGAACTCCTGGGCTTCGAGCTCCCGCTGCTCCCAGAACTGCGCCTGCGCAACAATGGCCACAGTGGTGAGGGGGTCTCCCCGCCAAGACTTGTGGATGGGGCGGGGCGCAGGAAAGGGAACCTTCGCTGCAATGCCTGCCCGGGGATTGGGCTGGCCCTCCCGGGCGGGGCCGGTTTACTTGCCTCTCCCTACGCAGTGCAACTGACCCTGCCTTCCGGGCTAGAGATGGCTCTGGGTCCCGGGCGGGAGTACCGGGCTCTGCAGCTGCATCTGCACTGGGGTGCTGCAGGTCGTCCGGGCTCGGAGCACACTGTGGAAGGCCACCGTTTCCCTGCCGAGGTGAGCGCGGAGCTGGCTGAGAAGGGGCAAAGGAGCGGGGCGGGGCGGGGCCAGGCCAGAGACGTGGCTCTCTGCTACCCTCGTGTCCTCTCCAGATCCACGTGGTTCACCTCAGCACCGCCTATGCCAGAGTTGAGGAGGCTTTGGGGCTCCCCGGAGGCCTGGCCGTGTTGGCCGCTTTTCTGGAGGTACCAGATCCTGGACACCCCCTACTCCTCGCTTTCCCATCCCATGCTCCCTCCCGGACTCTGTATGGTGGTGCCAGAGACCCCATCACAGCATGCTCACCCTGGCCCCTGGCTGACAAACTCTTTCACGCACTGTTCGTTCATTTAACACCCACTGTGAACCAGGCACCAGTCCACAACAAGGATTCTGAAGCTGTAGGTCCTTGCCTCTAAGGAGCCCACAGCCAGTGGGGGAGGCTGACATGACAGACACATAGGAAGGACATAGTAAAAATGGTGGTCACAGAGGAGGTGACACTTACAGCCTTCACTAGTAGGAAAGAAAAGGAAGTGTTCATTGCAGAGGGAACATAATGTGCAAAGTCTCAGAATATGGCCTATTTAGGGAATGGCTCCTGCAGTGCATTAGATATCAGGAAGAGTAATTTCTCTAATACTCCAATGACCCATCATTTCCCCTTTGTGAAATGCAGTGTTTAGTGACCTCTTTGGACCCATAATAATCAAGGCTACATCCACCATAATTAGAGGAGGCCAGTAAAGGGAAGGGATGGTGAGATGCCTGCTAGGTTCACTCATTCACTGATTTTTGTTTTTTGGACAGAGTCTCTCTCTGTCGCCCAGGCTGGAGTGCAGTGGTGTGATCTTGGGGCACTGCAGCCTCCGTCTCCCGGGTTTCCTCCTGCCTTAGCCTCCTGAGTAGCTGGGATTACAGGTTTGTGCCACCATGCCCAGCTAATTTTTTTTTTTTGTATTTTTAGTAGACGGGGTTTCACCATGTTAGTCAGGCTGGTGTCAAACTCCTGGCCTCAAGTGATCCGCCTGCCTCAGCCTCCCAAAGTGCTAGGATTACAAGCATGAGCCACCGTGCCCAGCCACACTCACTGATTCAACACCAGCCACACAACGCAAAGTTCAGAGAAATGCCTCTGACATAGCATGTCAATATGTTCATACTCTTAGGTTTATAATGTTCTTAACATTAGGTTCATAAGCAAAATAAAGAATAATAAATAAAAGAAGTGGCATGTCAGGATCTCTCCTGAAAAGCCAAACACAGAATGATGAAGGTGAAGGCAGAGGTGACACCAACACAAAGGTGTATATATGGTTTCCTGTGGGGGTTATGTATGGAGGCAGCAGTGAGTGAGACTGCAAACATTAGAAGGGCCCAGGTCACTGAGAGCCTAGTATCCTCGTAAAGTGGCCTCTCTCCCTCCCTCTCCAGCTTGTCATTGAAAACCAGTCCACCAAGCTTGTTGGTTCGCACAGCAAGAGTACATAGAGTTTGAGTACTAATACATAAGATTTTAAGAGGGAGACCCTGTCCCAAAAGCAACAACAACAAAAATCAACCACCATTACAATTTTACGTTCCCTCAGCATTTTCAGAGCTGAGGAATGGGAGAGGACCATGGGAACCCTCATGATGTTCTGGCCTTCAGCTATGGTCCTTGATACATGCACTCATCTGCCTTACAATGTCATCCCCCAGGAGGGCCCGGAAGAAAACAGTGCCTATGAGCAGTTGCTGTCTCACTTGGAAGAAATCGCTGAGGAAGGTCAGTTTGTTGGTCTGGCTACTAATCTCTGTGGCCTAGTTCATAAAGAATCACCCTTGGGAGCTTCAGGTCTGAGGCTGGAGATGGGCTCTCTCCAGTGCAGGAGGGATTGAAGCATGAGCCAGTGCTCATCTTGATAATAACCATGAAGCTGACAGACGCAGTTACCTGCAAACGGCTGCCTACAGATTGAAAACCAAGCAAAAACCGCCAGGTGCAGTGGCTTACGCCTGTAACCCCAGCACGTTGGGAGGCCGAGGCGGGTGGATCACGAGGTCAAGAGATCGAGACCATACTGGCCAACATGGTGAAACCCCATCTCTACTAAAAATACAAAAAAATAGCTGGGCATGGTGGGTGCCTGTAGTCCCAGCTACTCAGGAGGCTGAGGCAGAAGAATGGCATGAACTCGGGAGGCAGAAGTTGCAGTGAGCCAAGATCGCGCCACTGCACTCCAGCCTGGGTGACAGAGCGAGACTCTGTCTAAAAAAATGAGACAAAAAAAACACAAAAAACAAAAAAAAACAAGACCAAAAAATGGTGTTTGGAATTGTCAAGGTCAAGTCTGGAGAGCTAAACTTTTTCTGAGGACTGTTTATCTTTAATAAGCATCAAATGTTTTAACTTTGTAAATACTTTTGTTGGAAATCTTTCCCTTCTTAGTCACTCTTGGGCCATTTTAAATCTCACTTACTCTACTAGACTTTTAGGTTTCTGCTAGACTAGGTAGAACTCTGCCTTTGCATTTCTTGTGTCTGTTTTGTATCAATATTCATATTTATTTACAAGTTATTCAGATCATTTTTTATTTTATTTTATTTTATTTTTTATTTTTTTGTATTTTTAGTAGGGACAGAGTTTCACCATATTGGCTAGGCTGGTCTCAAACTCCTGACCTTGTGATCCACACGCCTTGGCCTCTCAAAGTGCTGGGATTCATTTTTTAATTTTTAATTCGCTCTGGGCTTAAACTTGTGACCCAGTACTTTATGATGGTACACAGAGTTAAGAGTGTAGACTCAGATGGTCTTTCTTCTTTCCTTCTCTTCCTTCCTCCCTTCCCTCCTGCCTTCCCTTCTCTCCTTCCTTTCTTTCTCCCTCTCTCGCTCCCTCAGGCTTCTTCCAGTTGCCCCAATGCCCAGTACCTTTTTTGAGTTATGTCTTATGGGAAGGGCCTGCACTTGGTGAAGAAGTGGTCTCAGAGAGTTCAGTTACCTTGGCTTCTGGGAGGTGAAACTGTATGTCTATACCCTGAAGCTTTAAGGGAGTGCAGTGTAGGTGAGACCCCAACATAGATCCTCTTCACAGGCTCAGAGACTCAGGTCCCAGGACTGGACGTATCTGCACTCCTGCCCTCTGACCTCAGCCGCTACTTCCGATATGAGGGATCTCTGACTACACCGCCCTGTGCCCAGGGTGTCATCTGGACTGTGTTTAACCAGACAGTGATGCTGAGTGCTAAGCAGGTGGGCCTGGGGTGTGTGTGTGGACACAGTGGGTGTGAGGGAAGGAGGATGTAAGATGAGAAAGAGGAGAAGAAAGAAATCAAGGCTGGGCTGTGTGGCTCACGCCTATAATCCCAGCACGTTGGGAGGCTGAGGTGGGAGAATGGTTTGAGCCCAGGAGTTCAAGACAAGGCAGGGAAACATAGTGTGACCCCATCTCTACCAAAAAAACCCCAACAAAACCAAAATTAGCAGGACATGGTGGTGTGCGCCTAGTCCCAGCTACTCAGGAGGCTGAGGTTGGAAGATCGCTTGAGTCCAGGAGTTTGAGGCTGCAGTGAGCTATGTGATCCCACCGCTGCCTACCATCTTTAGGATACATTAATTTATTTATAAAAGATACCAAGGGGCCGGGTGGGGAATACAGGAGATGGAGGATGGAGCCCTGAGGTGCTGGTTGTGAGCTGGCCTGGGACCCTTGTTTCCTGTCATGCCATGAACCCACCCACACTGTCTACTGACCTCCCTAGCTCCACACCCTCTCTGACGCCCTGTGGGGACCTGGTGACTCTCGGCTACAGCTTAACTTCCGAGTGACGCAGCCTTTGAATGGGCGAGTGATTGAGGCCTCCTTCCCTGCTGGAGTGGACAGCAGTCCTCGGGCTGCTGAGCCAGGTACAGCTTTGTCTGGTGTCCCCCCAGCTGGGGGTCCCTTATCCTCCCATGTGTGTGCCAGTGTCTGTCATTGGTTGTCACAGCCCGCCTCTCACATCTCCCTTTTTCTCTCCAGTCCAGCTGAATTCCTGCCTGGCTGCTGGTGAGTCTGTGCCCCTCCTCTTGGTCCTGATGCCAGGAGACTCCTCAGCACCATTCAGCCTCAGGGCTGCTCAGGACCGCCTCTGCTCCCTCTCCTTTTCTGCAGAACAGACCCCAATCCCAATATTAAAGGCAGATCATGATGGGGATTTCCCCATTGTCCCCAGGGCCTAATTGATTAGAATGAAGCTTGAGAAATCTCCTAGCATCCCTCTCCCCAACCCCCGCCCCCCTTTTTTTAAAGACAGGGTCTCCCTCTTGTCCAGGCTGGGGTGTTGTGGCACGATCATAGCTCACTGCAGCCTCAAACTCCTAGGCTCAGGCAATCCTTTCACCTAAGCCTCTCAAAACACTGGGACTGTAGGCATGAGCCACTGTGCCTGGCCCCAAACAGCCCTTTTACTTGGCTTTTAGGAAGGAAAAACGGTGCTTATCTTGCCCCTTCTTGTGTATCCACCCTCATCCCTTGGCTGGCCTCTTCTGGAGACTGAGGCACTGGGGGCTGCCTGAGAACTTGGGGCAGGGGTGGTGGAGTGCACTGAGACAGGTGTTGAGGAACTCTGCAGACCCCTCTTCCTTCCCAAAGCAGCCCTCTCTGCTCTCCATTCCAGGTGACATCCTAGCCCTGGTTTTTGGCCTCCTTTTTGCTGTCACCAGCGTCGCCTTCCTTGTGCAGATGAGAAGGCAACACAGGTATTACACTGACCCTTTCCTCAGGCACACCCTTCCCCAACCCCGTGTGGAGTCGCTTCGTAAAAAGTGCATGCAAATGAGCTGCTCCGGGGCCCGTTTTCTGATTAGTCTTCCCTGTTGTGTACACACAGAAGGGGAACCAAAGGGGGTGTGAGCTACCACCCAGCAGAGGTAGCCGAGACTGGAGCCTAGAGGCTGGATCTTCGAGAATGTGAGAAGCCAGCCAGAGGCATCTGAGGGGGAGCCGGTAACTGTCCTGTCCTGCTCATTATGCCACTACTTCCTTTTAACTGCCAAGTAATTTTTTAAAGTAAATATTTATAATAAAATATGTGTTCGTCACCTTTTTTCCCCAAATCAGAAGGATGGTATTTGAATTTCCTATTATTATTAGCATGAACTTAGTGGCAATGCATTTATTATCTTACAGTTCGGAGGTCAGCAGTCAGATGTCAGTAGGGCTTGCTCGTCCTGGATGCTCTGAAAGTAGAATGTTTCCTTGCCCTTTTCAGATTCTAGGAACCACCTGCATTCCTTGGCTCCCAGCCACTTCCACACATCACTCCAATCTCTTGCTCCCATTGTCGTAACTCCTACCTCTACATTTGACCTCCTTGTCTCTTTAAGAACCCTTGGGATTACACTGGGCCTATCTAGATAATCAAGGATAATCACCCCATCTCAAAATCTTAATCACCAAGTTTCTTCCCATGTAAGGTAAGAACAATGCACAGGATTAGAACATGGACATTTTGGAGAAGGGGAATATTCTGCCTACCACAGATGCTATCAGGAAGAGGACAGAAATGACTGATACTGTTGGGATGGCCGTGTGTATGTGTGTGTGCAGTGTATGTGTTGAGGGGTAGGGCAGACAGCAGCCCAAGGCTTAACATCACACTCAGGCTTTTGGGTTTTCACCTTGCTCAAAGAAAATGTGTCACCTCTTGCAGTTTTTGCTTCAGGATGTGCTGTCTGGCCCAGCTGGCTGCTGGAACAGGGCGGTGCTATGGATGGCAGCTCCTCAGGCTGTAGGGCACAAGGCCTACGATGTCCCCCAGTTTTGTCAGACTTCCTGCTTCACACAGCCTGTTCACAGCCCCTCCTCAATGAGCCCAGGCCCCCCATCCCAGTTTCCCCTGAAAAGGAAGTCCTAATGCAGAGCAAGGACCCAGGCCCTGCTCATTCAGGGGTCCTTCAAACTCCATTGCCAACACCAAAGAAAGGCTTAAAGGGCCTTGAGAAGCTGGTAACATCAGTTTTATTGGGTTGGGGCAGCAGCCACAGCCTGGCTGTGGGTGGGGCGGGCCCTCACAGGTTGTTGAGTTCCAGCAGGGTCTGGTCCAAAGTCTGGTGAATCTCGACGTTCTCCTCCTTGGCACTGGCCAAGGTCTCTGTGAGGGGAAGCAGCAGGTGAGGGAGGAGGGAGACACAAGGGGGAGACGTAGGGGGGCAGGGCCAGGGGAAGGTGACCTATAAACATTGAGTGGGTCAGGAGACACAGGAAGACACATGCATTCAGGGACCTCAGGGCCCCATGGCAGGGACAAATGGATGGACTGACCAGGATGAGGGCAACAAGACGGACATGGATGCCTCACTCAAGGCCTTAGGGTCATGGAGGTGGGGTGGGGAGGCCTGAGTCATAAACTACTTTATCCTCCTCTTTAGAAGGTTTAAGAAAGTTGGAGACAGAAGGTAAGACAAAGACTGTGCCAGGAAAGGAAGGGCCAGACAGACTTGAGGTAGAAAACAGACCTGCCACTGCAGTGAAAGCCCCATGTTGCAGATATCCAACATTTTTTCCAAGCTCCATTCCAGACCTTTTGCAACCTTCTTGCCCCTATCCTGCACCTCACCACCCTACTTCCTTTCCAGTCACTCTGTTTGATCCTGGAACCCCAGCTAAGTGCTCTGAGGTCAGTGATTGGCACCAGAGGGGGTCATGGTTTGACGGGGCTACACGTGTCCACATGCAGCGGTGAGTCAGAGAGCGACAGCCAGGGAGTGCCTGTGCAGAGGGGTTTCAGCGTGGGCCATGGTGTTTTGTGGGCGGGCTCAGTGCAGGGGGTGGGGGTGTCAGTAAGAGTCAGGGTGTCAGGAGTGAACCAGTGCTCCGTGGTGGCGATAGAGGTGCTTTCTGGAGGGCAGGAAAACAGCATGGAGACCAAGTTCAGAGTTTATTAAGCAGCAAAGGGGGGTGGAGGGGACAGGTAAAGGATGAAGCCAGTGCCAGAGTGGGTGGTGGGCATGATAGGGGCTCTCCCTAGGCTGCTCCCAGCCTGGCTGTGCAATGTTGGCAATTTCTGCTCCTCCTGCCTGCTCCCCTCCCCATAGAGAGAATAGAAAGGAGAGGAGAAAAGAGGGCTGAGGTGGCCACGCTGGCGTGGGGCTCAGAGGGAGGTGATGTCATTGAGTGCGTTGTCCAGTTCCTCGCTAATGGCCTTGTACTTCATCTTCTGGGCATAGACTTCATCTGGGGGGGGTCCAGGGAGGCAAACAGGTGGGAGTGTGGGAAAGGGAGTGGAGGGAAAGAGGAAAGGAAGGAGAGAGGGCAATGGAAAGAAAAACAGAATCAGAGGTGCACAAAGACAGAGTGAAAGAGGGAGGCCAGGGAACAGGTTGGACGGCTGTCGGGAACTCCTTCTCCCCATCTCTACCCCATCTCTTTTCTGTCCTTCTCTGTACCCCAAATTGGCTCTACCCACAGAAGCTCCTGTCTCCCCAGGGAGCTGTGGGCACAGTGCTCTCCACAAGCAGAAGTGCTTGCTTTGCAGGGAGAGGGAGGGTGCTGGAGCCAGAAAGGGCAAACCTCCTAAAGCCGGAGGTAAAACTGCAGCTTGCCTGAGAAGGCTGGAAGCGAGAGAAGTGGGAAAGTGAAAGGGTTATCACAGAATAAAAAGGAAAGGCAACTTTAGCCACAACACCATTAACAATAGAAATAGCCACAGACTCACAAATATCTGGATGTTTGCTTTTGCCAAATCTAGCTTAAAACAGTGTTTTCTATGAGTGTTGTCATGCAGACCTAGATGTTCAGTCCAATAGCTCTCTAGTTAATAAGCCAGTCTCTGAGCTAGAACTCTACTGCGTTACACTCAGGGACGCAATTGTCTATATGGGTGCCACTCAGAGTGTGGCATGAGGACCAGCAGCATCGGCAGTACCAGAGAACTAGCTAGAAATGTAAATCCTCCAGCCCAAAGTCAGCAATCTCTTTGGGGCAGAGCCAAGGAATCTGTTTTTAAAAATCTCCCAGTGATTCTCATGCATGCTGAAGTTTGAGAAGCACTGGAGTCGTTGTGCCGTGGGCAGCTACAATTACTTGAATTGTAGACGTGGCCCACAGAGCTGGGGAGTTGGTAGGGTCCTAAGTGGTCCAATCCTAGTTTACTGGTAGCAAATAAAATGGGATGAGAAGGTATGGGACAGACTGATAATCACGGCAGGTGTGGACCTACTTATAAAGGCTTCTTTTACCTTCTAGGTCATCAATGGTTTTCTCCAACTTTGCCACAGACCTCTCAGCAAACTCTGCTCGGGTCTCAGCCTGGGGGTAAAGGCAGGGTGGGAGAAATGGCAAAGAATTAGGCCCTCCCACAGACCACTGCCTAAGTCAAGCTTCTTGCCCATCCCAACCCTCAAGTGTCCTGCCACAGGCTGTCTCTGGCAAGGACTAGGGTGGCTTGAGGGGAGACTGGGAACTGGAAGAGGACTCTCACCTCCTTCAGCTTCTCCTCCAACAGTTTGATCTCCTCTTCATATTTATCTTCTTTGGTGGAATACTTTTGGGGACACACACAGGCCATCAGTACAGCACCACCACAGATCCTTCATTTCTCCATTGTACCCCGTAGGCTCCTGGCCATCTTGCCTCTGTTGAACACCCAGCCCCTCCCTGCCTTGGGCCTCTCACCTCCCTCCCCTGTGGGACCCCATCCTCACTGCCCCTCTGCTCCCGTCTACCTTGTCCGCCTGGGCCTCCAGGGATTTCAAGTTGTTGGTAACAATTTTCAGCTCCTCCTCTAGGTCCCCACATTTACTGCAGGGGGTGTGTGGCGGGGGGGGCGGGGTGTGAGGGCACAGCGAAGCCAGACAGTGGAGATGGCACAGCGGGGGATGGGTGGAGGAGAGAAGAGAAGAGCAAAGTTGTGAGAGTGATAGCAGGCAGGGCTCAGAAGCCCCAGGCCCTTCCTGATCCCCAGCAGCTGAGAAAGAGCAGTCTGCGGTGCTGAGATGGAGGGAAGGTGAGCTGAGAGAAGGCGCCATTGCCCAGAAAGGTTCAGAGGGGTCGCTACCTCCTCCTCTGAGGCCATCAGGGACTTGAGGGCCTGGTCCATGGTTCGAAGTTCCTCCTCCAGCTGTCTGGCTCGGCTGGGGGCAGCGGGCAGGGGTCAGAGAACAGGGCCTGTCCCTATAGCCCCAAGCCTAGGACGCTACCTCCCCACTATGTGGAAGGCCCCAGGGCCAATGGGCCCACTTGCCACCCCAGGGTATCTTTACCTCTCAGCCACCTCGGCTCTCTCCTCCGAGCGCTCCAGCTCTCCTTCCAGGATCACCAGCTTCCTGGCCACCTGAGGGAAGTGAGAAAGAGAGGGTAGATCAGTGGAGAAGGACTGGGCATGTTGCAGGCTGGGCAGCGAGCAGGCTGAGGGGCAAGGCTGTCACCTCTTCGTATTTGCGGTCTGAATCCTCAGCGATGTGCTTGGCCTCCTTCAGCTGCATCTCCTGCAGCTCCATCTTCTCCTCATCCTTCATGGCCCGGTTTTCAATGACCTTCATTCCTCTGAAAGACAGGGAGAGGGTGAGTGTGGGGTCAGGACTAGCAGAGACAGGCTCCCTCCTCCTTCCCGGACCATCCTCTCCGAGGCCCCAACCACCTCTCGCTCTCATCAGCTGCCTTCTCGGCCTCCTCCAGCTTCTGCAGGGCTGTAGCCAGGCGCTCCTGGGCCCGGTCCAGCTCCTCCTCAACCAGCTGAATGCGGCGGTTCAGAGAGGCCACATCTGCCTCAGCCTGTGGGTCAGAGGTCAGGTGTCAAAAAAGCCTTGTTAGCCTTGGATAAGGATCAGAGAGGCTCCAGAGGATGGCAAGATTCTTCTCAGAAAGAACTGAGGCTTCCTGGTTTCTAGACATTCTATGTAATTTTTTCCCAACCAATCATCTTCTCCCCAGACTGTGCTCCAGTAAAAATGTGCATTCGGCCGGGTGCGGTGGCTCACGCCTGTAATCCCAGCACTTTGGGAGGCCGGGACGGGTGGATCACGAGGTCCGGAGATCGAGACCAGCCTGGCTAACACGGTGAAACCCCGTCTCTACTAAAAAAATACA